TGTATTGATCGTATTTCTGCAATATTTCGGCCCCAGACCTATTAATAGTAGTGATTTAAATGGCACTAACTTCGTATCATACCGTATGAATTATAAATAATTTTGAAATAAGATAAATTTTAAATATTTTTTCAACAATCAGCTTTTAAGGTTGCCAAAATCTAAATGAGATTCAATCATATCATAATAAGTAGGTACACCATTTTTATAGTAATTTATAACTTTTGTTAAAAAAAAAAAAAGTTTTATAAGATTTTATTTCAAAAATATCAAAGTACAAAGTGTACGTTGAAATTTTAAACTGTTATAAAATTTTGTTCAGAAATTGTTGTCGGCAAAACTCTGAGTACTGTAAGAAATAAAAACGCTGAAAGTAAAATATTTACATAACTCTTATTATAACACGACTGATTGAAACTGAAAGATTAAGTAGGTATAATCAAAAGATACTTGGAAAAGAAATTGCCACAAGCATTTCAAAAAACACGAAATTCGATCAAGTAGCTACTAATTACTTCGAAAAATTCTTAAACAATAATAAATTATACCAATACGAAGAAGCGATAACAGTGTACAAAATTTTAGGAATAAGTGTTGCTGTTGTCATCAGCCTATCAGACAAATTACTCGGAAAAATCACATTGGTACTTGTCAGGAACGAACCCGCGTCCTCATGCACGAGAGGTGGGCCCTTTAACCACTAGGCTACCACTATGGTGAATTTAAAATAGCAAGAGTAAAAAAATCCAACTTTAAAGGTTAATATGTATTTACTATCATAGCATATGCTTAATCAGTTTGCAAAAATTTCTTTCTGTGAAGTCTTCTTACTTCTATATGTACAATTTATTTCCTTTCTTCCTACGTATAAGAGTAAATCATTAATAAATAAAAACCAATACACTTAAACAGAAATACTTTTTTTTTCTAACATCTGTTATACTAACAAACAAAATACTAAAAAATCTTTACTTATTTCTAAGTATGGTAATAAATAATCAAAATTTTAATCCTTAAGAACGTATCTTAATTAGAGCTATTAAATAATTCGTGAACATAATTATAGCAATAATAAAAATTTGTAAATTACAAGCTTCTTATCACTAAAAGATCTTACAGGGCCGAAATGTATGTAAATTAATTCAAAAGTCAAATAAAACGTAATAATCATTTGAAGTAAGTTTTAAAAAAAACATAATACATGAACAGTATAAACAAAATTGTTAATATCGAAATCTTGTTTGATTAGGTTCTATAAATTGATGTCCAAAAATATATCCAAATATAATGGAGATATATTCTAAAAACAATGGCAATTAACCATCACCATTCTAAAACAGTTATGCGTTTTTAAAATAATTCATAAATATAAAAACCATTGACTTCAATAAATTGTTTTTGCATTCAATTCAATAAAACTGGTTTTCGAAAAGAATTTCTCCTTCAAATTACTTTCCGTTAAAATTTTGTAAGCTTTTTTCGCTTAAGGCGATAGTACTGTGATTGGATGTATATTTTTTTCGTTTCACGGTACGGTTAATAAATATTTTCTGTGCATTTAGCTTATTGTAGAACAAAAAATAATAGTTTCATTAATGACTAACATTATTCAATTATTAATTATGTATGACTTTATATATTTTTTCATATATTAAACATAATAATTATATATCTTACCAACGTAAAAACAGTGAAAGGTTGTTAATATAATGAGATCTAAAATTTTCGTGAGTCTTATTCATTTAAATGGAAATTACGTTTTTCGGATGTACTACTCGATTTTATTTTTGACTAGCTGACCCGGCAGACTTCGTACTGCCTCAATCAAGAAATAAATTATGTCTTATTTATTTTTTTGGTGTTTACCTGTAAGCCATAAATCTCAGTGTTTTGAAGTGCGACAGAATGATTGACATATTAGTTAGTTGTCAAATCTAATGACAAAAAAAACGTTTGTACGGGAAATAGAAAAGGGCTGTTTTTATGGTTTTCCCAGTAATTAATCAAATTTTTTCAGCTTTTATACCTTCCCTGAACCTCCACAAACACTTCAAGACTAAGATAAGATAAATCCGTTCAGCCGTTCTCGAGTTTTAGCGAGACTAAGGAACAGCAATCCATTTTTATATATATAGAAGATAGAAGATAAAAACTACATACTGCCGACGTTTCGGCTACTTTAAAGCAACCGTGATCACCGGCAGACGAGATATGGGTGTGTGTTAATTACCAACTAAAATCGCGTAGGTTGTTAATGTGGTTGTATATAAACATTTCGAGTTAATTCTCTATTAATTATCAATCTAATAGAATATTTTTTTGCCCATACATAGATATTTTGTTGATTTATATTACTTATTGTTCGAGTGGATAATTCATTAACAGAATCCTATTTGTTAAGTTGTGATAACAGCTATTGAATTTAATATTGCTTATTCACCTGTATTTATTTAATCCTTCGTACGTTTATAGATTATTCTTCTAATCGTTTGTCTTATTAGTAAAGAATTTGAAGAAACATATTGATGAAATAATTAAATATGAAATTACTTTACAGCCACCTTGTGAATTTGAAATAGGCCTATTTAATTTTCCCACAGTGAAAGGAAGAGGTGTAAGTCGTTTGAATAAACCAATGTATTAAAGCGAGAGAGAAAATTTCAACTTAGAAGGGGTCTGCGATAATTTCTTAATTTAAGCATTCAAATTCCCTTTTATCCACTTTATTAACTCAATTTATACTCGAACGTGTTTACAAAAGTTTGAATTCCCAATTTAGGATAATTTGTTATGAAAACACCCTCTTGCTTAGGTGTGAATATGATTTGGAATAAGAAAAGACCTTAGAAAATATAGACCGTAGAATATGTATAAACATTAACAACTATATTACTTATATATTTCTTTCAATACTTTTTTGTACTCCTTTTTGAAAAAAAATATTACATTTACTACTTTTTAATAAATAATTCAAAACTGTCAGTGAAAATAAGAAAACGACAAATGAAAATAAAATTATTTTGTTCTGTTACATTTGACTAAAATAAAGTATTTTTTTATTCTTTTAAAATGGCCTCCCTACATCGACTTTAAAAGCGCTTTCATAATAGCTTAGGCTTTGTGCTCCCACCCTTACATACTTATTAGACTCTTCAGAGAATATACTTTAGTAAAAAGTGAAAGAACTTCATCTTAAATTTATAATAAACTTCATCATTTACATAACAAAACATTCAAGTCTTACTAAAACACTTTATTCACGACAGAGCCTGAACTGTTAGTTCACATTTTTTAAATTAAAATAAATTTGTATAGTTATTATGTATTCAAACGACACTTAATTTAAATCTTAAGAGAAAACACTTATAACGCATGACATACTCTAATGAAAGCCTTTATCATAAACGTTCGCCATTAGAGCTTATTTCGCAGGCAAAATATTAAAACTGAATAACTCTCGTAAAGTAGACTTTGGTTAAGGTTAGGTCTCAAGATCTTTTACAGTTTTATTGTTTTTTATAACACTACTAACAAAGAAACATTAAGGATGTTACTTTCATATGTATTATTATATTAAACCAAAGTATCCACCCTTTTTATAATATCTTTTACATATTAGATAAAAATGATATATGAAAATCTGCTGGAAATTTTCAACGGATACTAATGAATTTGTTTACTGTGATTTTTACATCACAAATAGTTACAGTTGTATTCAAAAGGGGTTATTTATTAAAAACTGATCTAAGTACACTAAAATATGGAATTGGGTAATATTGAGATACGTTTTTAAATAAAAATTGTGTTTACGACAGAATTGTCTTATTCAAGGAACTAAGGCTTTAGCAATTTCAATTTCCAGGCGTACGACGCTCTTCAGATACATTAAGCACTTAACTATCACTGTCTGCTTGCTTTCGCCGTTTATAAAATAAAATCCCTCCGGCTTTGAATATTTTCAGTGTTTATCCTGTCTAAGTATACTCTTATTTTTTATCTATCTAATGTTGTTTGGAAATTTCGTATGATATTTTGAAATTCTGATTTAGTATGCAACTAGCATGTTATGTTTATGGTTATGACTTTCGTTAATAATAATAATACATAGTTATAAGATTTGCGAAATAAGAAAAATGAAGCGTAATATTTATGGCTTTCCTATTTAACTATCTATAAAAATTTAATGAATGCATATTGTATTGGATATTAAATGATTAAAAGGAAACAATAAAAATAAATAAAGAGCACATAAAGTTTTTCACTGACCCAATTCAAAACAAGTCCTGACACAAATTAAGTTTATTGTTCATTTTATGGATGCGTCATAAAACAGTAGAAATACAACCGACTGTTCTTAGTATAATGTCCTTTAAATATTTGTTTTAAAATAACTTTAATTCTGTTTAATGTTGTCATAAACTTGCAAATTTTATTAATTAATGAAACCTAGATGAGCCTTGAAAGAAAAGAAATATATAATTTGATAGTGATATATTGAATCTATATATAAAATCAATAACAAAACTACTATCCAAATATTTATTCCATATATGTAGTTATTGGTACCTAGATAATATCTTGTCCTTAATAATATCCATTTAAATCAATAGAATGAAAAACAATTACATCTTTATGCCTCAATTAGAACGTTTTATTAGTTTTTTATCGATGGTAATCAAGCTACCGTTTCAAGTGAATAAACTCCATTTTTATTTTATATAGAAATTACATTACAATGATAGAAGTTCGATTACATGAATTTACATATTATAAATAGCTCACCTGTAGAAACCTGCATCTTATCAATGTTTGAATTAAAATCTTACTTAAGGGAATATAATTGTATTTTATTTTTTTTCACTTTTCAACATTCATAAATAAGTAACATTTTAACAATGGTAAAGTGAAATCCCTGCGTAAAAATATTGCGAATAACTATTTTATTTAAATGCAAATACTTGTGAATACTTTATTGTTGAAAAATATTGAAAGTTTAAAAGTTAAAATGATTTTTTAAATTCTATAAACGCATTCTTGTTCCAGTCTCCTCTACCGAATGCTGTATCTTGTCTATTAGCTCCGATATTTAAATTCAGGGATGAGTTTGGTGTTTGATGTAAATTCATTTTCCCGCCTATTGAATAGTCTGTTGCTTGAAAAGCTGGTGTATGTGAAACGGAGGCATTTGCACCGAATTTGTCTCTGAAAATTTTTCTCAAAATATAAATAGGAACAATAATAATGTTAAACTTGTAGGAAATTGTTAAACTGTTGTTTATAAAATGTAGGGCCTAGCTATGGTTAAATTACTACAGCTCGAACATGGGCTGACTCGACCTGGAAGTACCACTCTTTAACATAAGATCGGCATGAAGTAGCCTTAATGGCTGTATTTCGTCCAATGAGTGAGAGAGCCCGCTGCCTATTTCTTTAACATAGGTTAACTTTTACATAAACAAGGTCAGCAACGCATCCACAACATACCTTATGTATCAGATGCCCATAGGCGACGGTAACTACGTCTCTTAAAATTTTAATGATAACTAAAATGTAAATTTTCTTGTAATATAATTTTATACGATATACCATTGACCAAAGCCCGGAATCTTTTCAGGTTTAAACAGTAACATAGACATTAGACACACATACATTCAAAAGCAGAAAGTTGTTTTCTGATTATGTACGAGTATATATACATTTATTTTCTGTGTAGGCAAAATACTTTTCGTTGAATAAAAAATAATAAAATCTTACTTGAAAGCGTAATCAACACCAACTCCGTGGGTCTGAAAACTTTGAATCGATTTTGGAATTGTTGTAGCAGAGAATGCGTTGACATCTAGCTGATGGTTGTCAGTTTTCAAAATATTAACGTTTGCTGACGTTGTCACTCTGTTTCCAAAGTTGGGTATGTGTTGACCAGATATGTTGACCGAATGACCATCGCTAAATGAAAAAAAATATATATTTCTTATAACTATTAATTAAAGAAATAATAAAATGATAAGGAGGTAGTGCGTTCACAACCAGCCTTATTTCCAACTATCAACGAAAATAATGATATTCAAGCATTATCCAGACGTTATTAAAAACTAGTAAATAAACTAACTATATTTTTTGTATCCGTAATTATTAAAATGATTAATTTTAATAAATAAAGTTACATATGATTTTTTTTGGTACTTACTTGTTTGCAACCCCCAAGCTAGCAGTTGCCACATTGTAGGGAGGAGCATTAATTTTCGTAGGATCCACGGAATCTCTATAACCATGAACATGGAGACTTCCAAGAACCTGACCACCGTCGATTTCCTTCATAGCGTTAATGGAGTAGTTCTTAGTTTTATCATCATTTTCTGTCATGTTACCAGACAACGGCATCTTGAAGGAATAATTTACTATCCTGGAACCGAACGTGACGATTTAAACTTTTAAACTGGTCACATAAAAGTATTCGTTATTTATATATACCAACATAAATAGGGACGACGATAACTTCTGTCTAAACGTTATTATTTTCTTTTTTGATCATTCATGTACTTTCAAAATAAAACATTATCTAATATAACAATGAAATCGTTTCTTTGTTGATGTTTAAAAATATTTGAAAAGAGATGACTGAAAATTATCAAACCAAAAAAGGAGTTATTAATAAAATAAAAAATCATAACGAACGAAAACCTAAAGTTTATATGTGTTTTATAAATGAAACTGCTTTTTATGAAACATTTGACGATCCTTTATAAAAAAATATTCTATCGATATTCACTCATCACTATGGTTATAGGGTATTCCCTTTTTGGAGTATGCAACGTTTGCAAAGGATATGAATCATAATAGAATTATTTGCGGGGACTCACAAAGTTAACAACTCTATCTCACTAACAACGTCCAGACCAATAAACTGTGTATATTTACAAAGTGGGGACAATAGATTGAGGTATGGAGGGAATGTACCGTACAAATACATACAAAATACTATTCAAAGTCAGTACCTTAAAAATTACAAATACTTTGTTAACTTGAGCTAGGATTCGATTCTAGAAACCTTATAAAACACTCGTTTAACAGTCTTAAATATTAAAATAATTTCATTTCTATATTTTTAGTACGTTTGTGGAATCTAATCCTTGCTTACCTCAACAGAGTTATTATAATTTAAAAAAAACTCAAATTCCTTTCAGGTAAAACTGTTTTTATTTCTTTTTCTCTTCCATCGCAATTCAAGAAATCAATTTGCATCCTAATTAATATGCTGGATCTCTAAACTTGTAAGTTATTTAATATTTTTCAATCAATAGAATGAGTCTAATAAGCGTACAGAACTAGGTATGCATGCACAAAGTTTCACCCTTAGTAAAGTTACTAACAAGATATATTTCCAAGTCACAACTGTACAATAGTTAGGAACTGTTCCTGCTTAACTTTAGAACTTATTCACTGACTCTTATTATTGAGACTTGCTTGGTAAAGCAAATTCTGCAAAATACCTCTTGAATTAAATACACATCACAATATGTTTATATTGTACCTAACATACTAAAGAGCTAACGAACAGAATAAAAATTAAATATTGAGTGATGTTTTACTTTAATTATTATTTTCTAATTACCATTGTGACTATTTTGACATATTTAATATAGCCTATTCATACAATATTTAGTGGCATTAAATTTTAGATAATGAGAGAATTTCCAGATTAATCCAGTGGTTAGTTATAAAGTTGCAAATAAGTAGTAGTTTTCCCTCAACTAGACACAATCTTTTCTTCAATATAAAATTTTAAAGCTTTATTCACCAGCCTGTTTCAGATAACATATATCGGAATACATTTTATATTTTCTTCATAAATATTGATTGTAAATCGCATTAAATCATCGGGTTTAAGTTTAACATCATAACATCATGTAATTATTAAGCTTACATATTAATTAATAAAATAATTAATCATTAAAAAGTCAGACAACTCAATAGCAAAGCAAGTAATAATGAAGTATACAATCATACAAAAAAAAAACATTTAAAATCCCCTACACATGAGAGTACTTACAAGATCCCACCGCATACAACCTCTTCATTATAATTGCATTGAAATGGTTTTTTTATTATAATATAATCTGACTTGTGCTTTATACGAGTAAAAAATTGTGTATTGTTGACTAGATGCTGCAATATCTAAGTTATATGATTTTAAAATATGATTTTCTTATTATGTGGTATGTATGAATGGAATGAGAATATGAGAGTTCAAAATGAAAATGGTATTCTTTTGAAAGCAGACAACAAAACAAATAACTTTCATCATAATCATCGTTATTTTTAAAGTTATTTTCTTATCAATAATTTCTTTAAGGATTATTCCCGTTGGTTTCAAAAGAAAAGGAAATATGTTATAAAAATATTTTTCAATATTTTTTTTTTGCACTTTAAGGAGATCAATATAACTGTTATTCATAGAATAAAAGTCTGTAAAATAACCTACGTCAAATTATTTTAAGTGCATCTACAATTATATTAAAATATGCTAACGTTAATATTAAGTCAAAAGTTGAATTTTCAATCACTTAAAATCTAAAAGAACCTCAAATTTTAACGACGTGCTACTTGAAACGTTTCTGAAAAATTATAAAGTTCTAGATATAATACAGTAATATTGAACGTTTAATTTTTAACATAACAGAGAACATAAAGTTACCCTACAATTCATGTAGTGCATTTGCATAACTTTATCAAAGTCCGCGTTAGAGACAATGGTTAGCGTAAATTGTCCGTGACCTTTGTACTGGCGCGTTGCTACAGTTCCGCTTTATGTTTGGAATTTAAAGGAAGTATTGTATATTATATATTCATGTTCTGTACTAACAACAAAATGTAAAAAATATTCTGCAATAATATATAAATTATTACGACTCATTTTAAAATCTAACTTTTATACCAGTGCAATTGGAAGTTGTAGATATTTTTTGCAGAATACCAATTTAAATTTTTCAATACAAATCCATTATTGGAGAGAGCAATCACTATCAAAATATTCATAGTGTCGTATCTTGGAAGTGAGTTAGATTTCTTTTCCATTTTCAATTGTCTTACATCTTGAAAACAAAGTAAAAAATACTTTGGGTTATCATAATATGGATAAGGTTATTGCTATTGAAATATTAATATTATATGAAAATATCATTTTCGTTGTTGTCTTAAAACAAAGTACGTCCTTAAATATATGCAGTGAAAATAAAATTATATGACAGGCATTCAAAGCTCTAAAATTGTAATATTTTTAGGTATATCCATATTATATTTTCTTTCAATATCTCTCAACAATTTCTTGAAGAAGATATTTATACTAACTGATTGATTGGGAAATGGGCGTTGTGGTTCCAATATTTCTTTTCTATACTGTCAAGATATTCATTTTTATATTATTATTTTTTTATCGTTATTGTATTTTTTATTCAATAAATTAAATAATGAAATATAATCATTACAATCTACTGTGAACTTGATACGCTCGCGTGCACATTAATGATCTTTTTTTTGGAGCGTCTCTCTACTTTTTTAATTATATTAGCCTTTTGAGTTTATATTCAATTAATTTCAACTGTCTCCATGCTTATAAGAATCTCCGAAAAAATAATACCTAGCAAAACTAATTTTCAAAATAACATTCTCAATAAATATGTCAGTGGTGGCCTACCGGTTAAAAGCATCGATTAAAAGGTTCGATCCTGGCCCGGGCGAGTACCAATGTGATTTTTCCGAATATGTACTTTCCTAGAGTATTTAGATATCACTGATTAATGCCGATTCCCAAAGAGGGTTGATGTCAGGCAGGCAGCCGGTCGTAAAAAAAATAGCCAAAACTATTCACAATATTTAAGGCAGACCCTGGCTATAGCTGGGAAAGTTAGCTAGTTTTAATTTTTGTAGTAATTTAAGTAGAAGTAGAGGTTTTTAAATACAATTTACATGATATTGTGTGGCATTTAGTATTTTCCTCTTTTCAATACTAATTGATTCAATTTAAATTTTGAACATAGTAAAATATACTAACATATTCTTTAAAATCACGTTCAGATTGCAACGTCTATACATAGTTAACAAGAGTTTTTGATCTAAAGCACACTAATTATGATAGCTCAGAAATATTTTTGCGTGTAAAAAAATTTTAGTAACTCGTTAATTTTCTGATATATATGTATTAATAAATATATTTTCATTATAAAAAGTCATCCCTATATTAAGGCATTAATACAGGACATGTTATAGTTATTAAAATTTAAAAACTAATTTGTATGAATTAATATTGCAAAAAAACACTATCTCTTATTATCGCTGGCTTCTATTTCTTTCTCCTAAACATGAATTATTATGAAATAAAAATATCAAGAATCTATTTTTTAAGACTTCAAAGCAATACGTCTTGTTGATTCAAAGAAAATAAATAAATATAAATTCATAAAAAATGTAGCAACGTTAATATTACTACTCAACATTTTGGTCATAATGACATATTTACTAATTGTAAGAGTATGAAAATAAATATGTATTAATAATTATGGAATATCGTGTATATAATACTGTAAAACCACGCCTTTTATAAGTTTATAAAAAAAAAACCAAAAGTGTTGTAAAAATCATAAAATATAATTAAAAAAATGTCAGTAATAATTAAACCTTATTACTTAACGTAAAACCTATTATTTGTGTTAAATAAAACATAAATGTATGTTTTTGGAATATTGGTAGCAAAAGTCTGATATATTATTCAAAGCTGCACTCACACGAGAGCGTTGAAATAATTTATGTTCGCATATTATTTTTAAAAGGCCAGACGATTTTTTCGCAGTCTGGGAATTTTGTGACGTTCCACTTAGAACTTTGCTTTTAATAGACTATTTTTAGGAAATTTGACGCTACGAGTACGTATGGTTTAAAAGTAACCTTTACTAAAGCAATATTTAAAATAGTACACTAGATTTATCGTGTACATAATTATTTTATATCTGTACGTAATAAGGTCTTAGTATAGTGGTAATATATTTTAGAAGTGAACATTTATTCTCATCATCTTAATTGAGTTCTCTTCTATTAATAACACTATTTCAAGATTACAAAAATCACTATTAAATGTTGAATAACATTTCAATTAAGATTCGATACAATTAGCAAGTGGAGCGAGAAAAGATGTTGACAATTTATATATTCAAAAGTACGTCATGTTTACCTGTTATTAAATAAAACAAAACTATTTCCTTTCTCATTTAAAGCAGGAACTAATTTCTGCATAAATAATTAATTTATTCATATAAATATTCATGAGAGACTCTTTTCAGAAATACAGAGCATACTTGGGGAAACTTGAATATTTATATTTTAAAATATTAGGATAGAATTATATTAGAATAAAATAAAAAAATTCGGTATTGATATGAAATTTCGGAATTATTACGTCTAAGCTACATTATTGTTAAGTTTCATAAAATTCTGTTAAGAAGTTTTTGTGTTAAAGAGTAACAAACATCCTCAAAAACTTTTACATTTTAATATAAGTGGGATTTGTATATTACTAGCATATATTTGAATTTATGTATGTTTATCGTTTGTGTTTATGGTAGTATGTGTTGACGAAATAAAATCAACGGAAAAATATTCCACACGTATGAGAACGTAAAATTTTTATGTTAGCATATTTTAGGTTCATTATCTTTGTTCTCGAAAAAAAAACGATTATTTTTCTATGTATTTTTATAAATCTACGTTTCCTATAGATTTCCTTTCATTTTTAGTACGACTAGTGTAAAGGCTTTGGCATTTAATATATGTTCTAAATGTCTTTTACTTCATCATCTGTTATGTTATGATCTTATGCCTATCTAAAAATATATACTACTTGTTTTTGCCAGCTACTGCGTCTGTGTGAATATGAGACATAGAAATGTATAAAATGTGTTGAAAAAATTAGTATAGTAAATTATTTTAAAGCCTTTTTTCATTTTAAATAACCTAGATATCAACTGCAGCGCTATCTGACGAGTTGAATTGTGAATCAGAACCAATAACATCAACATGAAAAAACATTCAAATCGATGCAACCGTTTAGGAGGTGTTTAGTGACATGCACACTTACAGTAAATTTATGTGAATAAAATAATTCCAATTATGTCTATGTTCCATTCCCTAAAAGTTTAAATTCAATATCTACATATGATGATAAACAGTAGGTACATTCCACTCTCAGGGAAGTCCCTAAATTACCTCTGACTGGGACGTATCAAAGTACACGAGTTTCAACTTTCAATAAGTGTAGAGATATGTTATATGTATAATTTAAAAATAACATACATATGTATATACATTTAATTAAAATATTTTTTATGCAAATTGTTTCAAAATCATTTTTCAATACACTCTTACTTCATAAAAATAAAATTTGGATACATAACTAGCAGGTATATCCAAAGCTAGCAAGTTATGTGTATTCGCTTTCATAAAGTGATAAATTATAATCAGAGGACGACAATCAGTCCAAAATTTATCCCGCTCCGTATAAAAGATGTCACTTTATTACCTTTGTGCAATTGTTTAGATTTATATTTAGTTTTGCGTTTTAGTTTGCTTTATGTATTATATTAATTTTTATATTTATCTTTCGCATTGCCGTAATTCAGACAGATAAACAATTTTCTTTTTTTCATATTTTGTGCTTATCGTACATTGTGTTAGAACTTTTGGAACGACGGAAATCTTAGCAAGCAATTTCTAGATTAAATTCCTTCAATCTATAACCTGCTGTAAAACTCTGCTCAAGGCAATTTCCTCTTACCATTGTTTTTACTCAGTGAATCACTATTTCACCTTTACACGTGATAGCAATAATATAAAAGAGAAAAAGAATTATTTCTCTATAAGTAAAAAGAAAAATATAATTTTAAACAGATATAAGTTTAAAAACTTGTTGAAAATGATTTATAATACGATAAAAGGTTCAGGCACTGGTAGTAAGGGTAAAATGAGAAAACAATCTATCCACTTTTCGACAACTCAGTCAAGAGATACGTCTATTATCTTGAGAAATTGAGAGATTAACATAACTTCAATAAGGATTTTATCGTGTATACTTTCGAATTTAGGTATGAGGTTCATTTATTCCTAGCGTATTCTTGAAAATGTTAGTAATGAATGATAATGTATACTTACATTAGTTTTGCATTTTTATTTGTTCAGTATTTTTTCTATTATCAATTATTCAGTTTAAGAGGGATCAATGAAATTAATAATTAGTATTATTAATTTCATCAATGAAAATAATAATTAGGTAATATTATCACAAATATAATTTCATGGACTCCATTTAAAAAAGTGGTATTATTTATAAATTAATATCTCAAAATATGAATGATTATTAAAATAAAGTAGAAAGGTTTTAAATAGTATTAAAATTTATCTGTAAACCATTGGCTATTTAATTATTCTTAATATAAAAAAATATATAAATACTATTAACATTTTATATATTATTCTTAACGATTTCAGTTTCCTTTATTGTATTTTAAATATTGGCTCTGTAATGATTAGGTAAATAAGCCTTCTTGTTTTCAAGGTCAGTCATATGACGAACATTTTAAAATATTTATTTCGCTGCAACCTTAAAAACTTTGTATCGTTTATCTTAAAATATAGTAATTCCCCACATTGACCAGGCGTATTAAGAAACTATTAATAGATAAAACGTTTTTACATGTATTAGTTACTGATTAAAGTTGATAAAAATCTTGTTGTCAAATGTGATATCGTCAACGAAAACAGTGGCCTTGAGATTTGAACTGAAAGAAAAAATATTTTAAGTACACAAAGGATTTGACTATGTAATAATTTACTTTACCATGGAATGTACACATATGCGCATATATCTATGTTTATAGATATATAATATATAATGTGAGCCCACATGTAAAACTTTTTAATTGTTGAGATAAACCCTAATATCTTATTTTCTTATAATCAACATTAAACAAATAAGCTAGTTTATTAAACAAATAAAGTAGTTTTGTCAGAAATCCCGAACCAATTGCAATAATAAATAACACAAAGATTGTTTATTTATAGTATCACAAGAGAAAAGGACTCAGTCATTTATTTTAGTAGCGGATAAAAAGTATAGAACCAATTAATTATGTCTCCATATTTCAGTTCACTGATAAGCGGGATTCACTTCGAATCAGTGAACTAAGAGGTCAAATCGCAATTACAAATTATCTCCACTTCGTCTTATCGGGGAAGTGTGAAGTCCCGAGAGTGTAGAATATTAATATCTGGAAGTGACCTTATTATTATTTATTCACTTGTACAGAACTTTCAAAACGATTTTTTCATGTTTAGTTACATTTATTCAAAGTCTTATTTCTTAAGTAATGTTTAGTGGCTTAAATTCTTGAAAAATTAGATTTTTCAAGTCATATTTTAAATTATGGTCTAGATCTTATCTTGTTATTTAAAAATAAAAATGATGCATTACATACAATTTTTAAATAACAATTATATACTATTTTATTTTTATGAAATATAAAAATTTCTTAAAGTATAAACTTTACGGTACATTAAAGATTTACTTTTGAAGAGGTTATAAATCATGTCCTATACGATATATTATTATTTTTCTATATTTTCATAATATAAAAAAATAATCAATTACTATTGAGATTTTTTTTATAAAATAACAATTTTATTCAACTGACAAAATAGAAAACAAAAAAGATGTATGCACACACTCAAAGAGACTTTTAATACACCCACAATATACCTATAAGTAATTAGATAATGCAAAAAAAGTACTTCAAATTAATTTTATTACGAATGACGCTTCTAGATGTACATAATACTTGTTCTAAGGGGATTTACTGCAACATTCTATTTTAGTATATAACCTGGAATATAGATCTGGAATATCATTCCTTGTTCAATTTGCGTTGATAGAGGTTCATAAGTTTTAAAAATGATTTCAAATATAATCTTGATAACGCTGTTCGCTATCGGAGCTAACTGCATGTACCTGCCATATGAATACAGCAGACCTATAGAATATGTGACTGATTTCGACTTAGAGCAACCCATTGAATCAGTCCATCCGATCCTTGTAAGAGATCGTCGGCAAGTTCATGGAGTAGCTAATACCAATCCTGATGGAACCGCTAATATTATGGCAAAACTTCCACTTGCTGGAAATGATAAGAATATATTGAGTGCTATTGGTAGTGTGCAAGGAGTAAAGCCAGGTGGATCATTTGGAGCTGCATCAGGTGGTCTAGCATTGGACAATGTGTAAGTAACCCATTCATAATTTTAAGAAGTAAATAACCAGTTCCTTAATAATATTTTGTTAATCTTGTTGCAGAAATGGCCATGGTCTTAGTTTAACAGGCAAGCATATTCCGGATTTTGGAAACCAACTTACAGCGGCTGGCAAATTAAACCTGTTACACACGGATAAACATGACTTCAACGCAAATGCTTTTGCCACGAGAAACTTGCCTAGTAACCCAGCTATACCCAACTTTAATACTTATGGTGGCGGTGTTGATTATACCTTCAAGTAAGTTCGGATGAAACAAATTTTTGTCATGAATGGCATTAAAACATTTCAATAATATTAATTTATAATTATTTTGCAGTCAAAAAGTTGGAGCTTCATTGGGAATGGCACATACTCCGTTGCTACAAAAGACAGACTATTCCGCAATGGGCAACCTTAATCTCTTCCGCAACCCAACTTCGTCTTTGGATTTCAGTGCCGGTGCAGCAAAGTCCGTGTCGCCATTTATTCCTAATAGATCCTGGCAACCTACCTTTGGACTATCGTATTCAAAATATTTTTAAGTTAACAAACGTATTACTTTCATTACAAACCATTTCAATTATTTCATTGAATCTCAATAATATTGTCTGTGATAATTAGTTCATATGCTTTTTTAACTACAAAAAATCTCAAAATACATATCTGTAACAACAAAAAATATAAAAAATAAAAGAACCTGTTCATAAAATTTTCATATTTTTATTGTTTTCCTATCCATTGTTTGATACATTTTTTGAGTAAGTTGCAACTGAAATATTTTTATTTTCAACACTTCCAAAGCGCAACATCGACCTGAACATTCTTTCAATAATGTATAAGATATATTTTATTTTTATAAGTAAGAATTAATATTCCGAACTATGCAGTGTACTAATTATAACCCAAGTATGTATACAAAAATAAGAATAGGTACTAAAAGCAATTTCATACCAACATTCAAATGGTTTTCTGTTAATGTTTAAAAATTTATTGTCACTTTTTGTCTTTTTCGTGAGTACATATAAAAAAACTATAGTTTTCGGATATTGTTTTCACTTTATATTAATAATAAATCAGACGTTTAAACTGCTTTGAAGTAAGAAATGATTTTCCGAAAGTCATAGCTTTAACTCTTTCAAAGTAAAATATCCTTTTTAATCATTTCATGAAATTGCTCGAGATGCATAAACTTGATAACTTTTGTTATCAAAAAATTACCCAATTTTTATTTGTTTACCATTTACATCGTTAAAATATTTAATTTAAGCGCCTGTAAAAAAATTAATATGAATACTCTCAGAACTTGTTTTGCACTTATGGTTTAAAAGGGGTCTTAATACGTCCCGGCGTAGCTTCCAAAGTAGTAGCTTTTAATTTTGCTATTTTTCACTCCGGTAACATATCTGATAAACTACTATGACAAAGCTATATATACTAAATTAGATTAAAATTTGTAAGCGAATCTAGTATATCGAAAATTTTTGTATATAATTTATAATAATATACTTAAATTATAATTTTAATCATAAAAAGTGCAGAAGGTAATCTTGTATATAAGCGAAAATAGTATATAGGACAATCTTATAAAAAAAAGAATATAGAACTAAAAGAAATCTAATATATAAGTGTATCTTGTAGGTATATAAGCGATTTGAGTATATAAGTGAATCTCGTGATTGTTGAGATAAGCTTCTAGAAATAATACTACTTTAACCAACTCGTGGGCTTAAAAAAAATAGAAATTGAAATATAAATGTAAGGCGGAGAGCCAAATGAAATACTTTTTTTTTTAAGCTACTTACTCGATTGCAATTGTTAATTAATGTTGCGCTAACAAAGTATACGGAAAAAGAAGGAAAACATACGGTGAAGGAAAACATCGTGAGGTAACCTGGACTTATAGTTTCACAATTATAAGTTTGAAATCACCAACCCGTCTTGAGCAAGCGTGGTGATTAATGCTCAAACCTTCTCCATGTGAGAAAGAGGCCTTGCTCAGCAGTGGGCGCTGATAGGCTGATGACGTAACAAAGTATTGAATGAATAAACACGAAGATTAGCCAACGAAAAACGTGATGTTATTACCTTATCAACTCACAACAATTCCTTATATGAAGTTTTGTCGAAGTCAGTCATGATATACATAAAAAATATGTGGTCTATAAAACAGTATTAACGACAAATGAATATTATTTAAAAATCACTTCAATATTGCAACGTCTGAAGTAGTCAAGTGTTTTTCAACTTAGGGTGTAATGACCGTTCGGTAATTTTACGAGAAATTAAGCATTATCGATAAGACTTTTTACTGTCTGGCTTCTTTTTAATATTTAACTGTTTAGTTTTATACTTAGTGATATTTTATAACTGTATAAAATGTAGACATTTATGTTAATCTTATAATTATTTGATAAAAAAATATCCACTAAAGAGCAACAAACTAAAAAAATATTTATTTTAAAGATTTTATACCAAAGCTTCTTTGTAATATAAATTATTATCAATTTTAACGATATGTTCGCTTTATGTTGAACCTTTTTTGTAAGTAATTCAAATTGAAATAGGTACATGCAGAACTATATATAACATTACTTGTAAAATTTACAATGAAACAAAATATGAACATTAAAATTATATAAGTATTTATAAGAGAATGTCCATAGTTCACGAAGCGTTTTCCTTATTAGGGCTAACTTACTGCTTGTAATTATTTTGTTTATTTGAGTAAAATGTTAAGATAGAAACCTTAATAGAATGTAACTTCTAAATATATTATAACTCACAAATTAAAAAGACAGTTTTTCTTCTTCAATAGGTGTTTGATAATAACTTTTTCATACACAAAGACTATTAAAAAATAGTTATAGTTCGGTGTTACCAAACGAATAAGAAATATTTTGTCACTACCATTAACGCTTGCTGTATATTTGGCTGCATAGACTCTTTAAGAAAGAAACAAAAAAGTTGCGACCATTCATACAATTGTTTTGAAAAACGACCTGTACTTTATATAATTATATTGGAATAAACAATTATAAATATGTTACCTAATCTAGTAAATGAAAGTACAGATATTATAGAAATATATAATTTGAAGGAACATTGTACCACAAACCATATTATTGTTATTCAAAAAAACAATCCACACATTATTTATAACTCTACTGCAAGAATTACGTTTCATTTATGTAAACTTTATAAAAAACAATGAAACCACTTTATTATTCTAAACACATTGAGTCCATTTGTAAATTTTGTGTCAGCAAAACATGTGACACCAGTCTAAGAAATGATAAATTGAGAGTGTCCCAAACTGCATTTATACATGTAATGGACATTGAAACTGCTTTGAAACATTTAAATTAAAAATAGGTCATTACAACATGTGCGCGGTAGAAAAATGTAATTGGTCACGTAGCTGTGTTGTTTATTTAGAATTGTGGACAAAATTTACAGTTGGTATCTGAGGCAACTCGAGCTGATAAAGTACTAGCATTTGACAAAATATCGATTTTGTGGTCCTATGAAAAAACTATTAAGTTGACAAAAAAATATGATAGAATATGTAGGATGTGATTCTATCGTTGGCATAGTTTAAACCAGTCTCCTAAAAACTTGAAATGGTGAACATCCTACCAGAGATGATGTATAATGTATATAACATTCCTAAAGATAGGTGTATAATATAGTGACGACTGTAGATTGTAGAAGAGGGAATGCAACGCATGTATTCAGGTATTTCCAGCATAACAGACAAGCCAATGGAATACTTTTGTCAACGAGCTATTTTATTAAAATCCTTCAACAGAAAAGAAAAAATAAATAAATAGATACACCATGCCATGTATATAGATGTCGCTATTACTTAATCACCGGGTAGAATTCTTAAATTTCCTAAAACTAATTGGCCTCTCATAGCATTAGTAGTACTAAAAAGGGCACCGATAATAGTAGTTTGTGTCGGCCGAATTTGTGTAGTGGTTGCCAGGTTGCTAAGACTTACAAAAACCGTTTTTTTCCCTTGAATTCTTCTAATACCAAATAATCTTCGATTTCAATTTAAGTGCCTCCAATTTCCTCCGAAAGTTTGCTTTGTGAGGGCGATAAATAAATGACAAAGTCAAATTTTCATAGTCGCTGGTAATTATTTAAGAAAAGATTGCTTCTTGATTATTAGGGAAAACGGTGTGTTGATTCATACTGGCAAATAGTGAAAAAACTAAAAATATTGTTTTTGTTTTTCAAAGTGAATATGGGTATCATTATTTAATGAAGATTATAAATCCAGTTACAGGTAAATAAACATTTTTAAGTATTTAATGTTTCTCACAAAAAATGTTTTTAGGTTCTGAAACTAACAAAAAAATTAATTCAATGAATTATTATTCATACAGGCTTATGGTTGGAGAAGTTGAGGTCAATCATGTCTTAAAATGTTGGCATCTCTTTCACCAATATGCTGTCCTTATGTGTGTAAATGTAGAAACTGAGCGATTGACGTTTATCAGAACCAGGCAAAACTCCTTTCTGAGGAATAAGGAAATTAACTTCATTCAAATAAAAAGGTAACAGATTCCTGATTATAATTCTTGATTATAAAATACAAGACAGTAAAATAAAAATGTTATATTGGCAACTAAATGATATAAGCACTAATAAAGTTCTGCTACAACAATAATAATCTGAGAATATTGCCTTAAGCACAGTTTTATAGCACGTTATAGATTAAAGGAATTTAATCAAGAAACTTCGATAGTTTTTAAAATACTAACTCAATTATATTGCAACTATAAAATCTTAAATATGAGTTTGCTACTAAATCTTAGTAATTTTTAAAACTATAACTAATGATCAACAAAACAATTTTGTTATACTACATGTTATAAATAAATTTAATTAAATAATATTATAAAAAATTGTATAAAAAACAAGAGGATAATTTTTTACAATTCAAAGATCTTGTCTATAAGTAAAGGGTCATAAAAAATATGAATTGTGTAACATTGAATGAAGTATGTAAAGTAAAATGTTTGCTCAGGAAGGCAATAGGTCAAATATTAGAATAAAGATGACGATAATTATAACATCAAAAACTATTTATGTCTTCAACAAAATTTTAACGTAAAATTTAAATTTTGTAGTAATAAAAATCTAATTTATTCCCATCTGCCTATATACAAGAGAAGTTTCACAATTTTTTACCTTCACAAAAAAAATTGAAACAATGTTTAATATAATTTAATTCAGAAAACGTCAAGTCATACGTCAACGCCGCGAACACGATAACGCCGTAGTACGTAGCTCCGTATTAATTAAACAGTAAAATCAGTGTTAAAGTTAGTTTACTTAGAAAATTTACTAAGAAAAGTCTATAAACTTAATGTTCTAACAAATCTAGGTGCGCATTCTCCACTTGCTAGGATGTGCAACTTATACAATTTCCTAAATAAAGAGATAACAGATTTGGACATGTTTCATGATTCATTTTCAAAATTCAAACATTCTTTGCATAAATATTACTCTCTAAAATTGTAACTGTTTC